AACACTAGAAGGAGATAACTGAGTCCTACAAGATGGTTCCTAATCTCCACATGTACAACATGGTATGTCCATACCCACAAAATAAATAAATAGATAGATAGATAGATAGATAGATAGATAGATAAATCAGCATTAAAGATAGAATTAAATGAGGCTGTTACTGACTTGTAGGGTTATTGTAAAGAGTAGGGAGAATGGAAATAACACACCAACATTGTGCTAACACATAGTAGGTGCTCATAAGTCACGTCTATTATTAACTATTAATCAGCAAAATCAAGAAAAAAGATAACATTCTATCAGTAGTTTCCTATGCCTGAATAAGAGATATAAAATCATTTAGGTACTGAGTAATTCATTTTAGGTATTAACAATATAGTCATACTGATGGATTAGTAGCCTGCTTTTTAAAATGCAATCTGTAAGGATAATTTGGAGTAATACTGTGTATTTTTTAGTGATGGAGAATCAAACCTAAGGTCCTGTAAATGGGAGGCAAATACATCCCATTTAATATTGTACATACAGCATTTAATACATTTCTTGGCACATGAAAGTATCTTTAGAGATGTTCCATGAATGGATACTATACATATGCTTTGCAAAAAGAGGTAAAGATAAGGTAGCTGCCTGTAGTAAACTGGTACCAGCAATCACATTAATTGTTCCTGATTTCAAATAAAAGACAAGATAACTTAGAAACTACAGAATGTGTTTAGAAGACAGAGCATATAGGAAGTTTCCAAACACCATTTGCCTCATTGTATTACATGTCCACATAAACCCCCGGAGGAGCTGGAGAGATGGGTCAGTGGCTAAGTGCATTCGCTACTCTTACAGAGTACCCGGGTTCAATTCCCAGCACCCAACATGGCAGCTAACAACTGTCTGTAACTCCAGTTCCACGGGATCCAATGCCCTCTTCTGATCTCCGTGGGCATTGCAGGACATGGGTGCACCTACCTACATGCAAGCAATACACTCATGCACATAAAATAAAAATAATAAATAAAATATTTCAAAACGAATTTTAAAAAAGAAATCCCCAGATAGGCATTTCTTAGTCCTTGTACTAACCCAGAATATCTGCAGAATGCACCCAAGTCCTATATACAGATGAGCCAGAAGGCCCAGCAGAGTTCTTACAGCCCTCTAGTGCTGCGTGGCTACCAGGGCTGAAGGCCTTCTCTCTCAGATACCAACTCTACAAACACAGTAGAAAATCCCATGGTCCTGTGATGTGATCAGGTTGAGCATTTAAGGACACACACACCCAGATCTCTACCTCCCAGGGACGTTCTGCAATCAGATTTTCCCAATTCTGCACACTTCTAATCATTTGTCTAGTCTATCAAAGGCGCACCCAAGCTGTTAGAGGCCTCGGACAGTCAAGAAAGGACCTCTTGGTAGATGTAGTATGTTTGCTTCAGTAAGTTTTAACCTGTGTGAAAAGCAATTATGAAAAGGCATTTATGATCAACTAGTTCTGTGTCTGATAGAAATATGTAGACCATCAGCTAGCAGACCTGTACAACTGGGCGCCAAACATTTTTGAACAGTTCTCTGTTATTACAATTTCTAGAGCCTTGGCAATAGTGCCATTAATTCTCTTTCACCAAGGTTTACAAGGTAAGTAACTGGCACAACCAATGCCTTGGGAACCAACAAACTGTGATTATGGCTATTTTTCTGACATATTAATAACCACCAAAGTAAAGAAAATCACACTCTGCCTCAGTATTAATGTTTTACCCAATTCTCCAATGGAAAAGTTGCACTGTCAAGGAATGGAGGAGACAAGAGAAACAGCCAATACACCACCAAGAAAGCAGTCATTGCTTTGTAGTAATGAGCTCCCTCTTTAGAAGCTGTTGAACAGGGGTCTCGCAGACCCTCAAACAATACTGGCCATTGCCCCAGCTCTTGGTTACCCAACAAAACTTGACTCTATTTCTGAAAACATTACATATATGAGCTGTAGAACAAACAAGGAGAAATCAAGCTGATCTGACTTCAAAGTTTCATCTCTACTAACCAGCTTTCATAGTGCTGGAAGGTGCTATGCATGCTACCAGAAGAGACAATTAATCATCAACCTTACACAACTATGAATCCTGTGAGCTACAACAAGAAATGGCCTGGCAAGATAAGTCCACTATTACAATAGTGGCACAAATATTATGGGAGCAATCAAGTACCAACTACCTTCTAATTGGATTTAAGGTCTATTTCATAAGATGGAGTCCATACCTGGCATTGATATCAGGTCTGGGAACCTGTGGGTAGGCTACACAGGTCACAGGCGAAAGCCTAATACTATTTTTTCTGAGATATAGAAATATATTATAACATAAAATAGGGTGGGAGATAGCAGAGGGTTAGGGATGGGTGAGGAGATATAAATGCAATAAAAATACACTGTATAAAATTCAAAAAAAATCAATTAAAAAAAGAAAGCAGTCATTGAAAACAGCAGCCCCTAAAGGGTCTGGTGAGTTATTCATTTCCCAAATACTTCCTGAACCAACTATTGTCTTATGTGCACAAACTATAATAATAGTTTGGCTAATGGTTTTGGCTTAAATTTCAGTAGGGGAGATGTGAATTAACCAAATAAACACATAGACAAAATCAAGGGCACAAATAAGTGGTCTAATGGAAACCTATGGTGTTCTGCAGAGACTGTACAAACAGAGAGTAGTTGACAAGTCTGGGGAAACCAGGATGGCTTCCTTCAACAACTAATGAGCAGAAATTTCAATGATAAGTGAGAAGTAATCAGGTCAAGAGCAGACGGACTCTTCCCTATTAAAGAAACTATGTGTGTTGAGGTCCTGGGGTAAGAGGGACATAATGAATTAGCTCAGAATTAAAGGCAGAGAAAAAGGCAGCAGCACAAAGATCTGAGGTCACGGTATAGGATGTTTTCCTGTCTACACTCCTCTAGATGTCTGGAAGGCTTTCCTCAGCGTAGAACAAGTCTAAAACACAATGTTGAAAACCAGATGTATCCACAAGACATGAAACATTACTAATTTAAAACAAAACTAACTTGTCAATATTACTTAGACAATGTATTCTTGGACTATCTGTAACACTTTTCTTTCCCACTGACAATACTGAATCAGGAAAATAGTGTGCCACAAGTGACCTGTAATCTGTTCAGGGAGAGATGTATTTTAATCCACACAGAATTTAAGCACTAATAAAAATGTTGATGATTAATATAAATCTCTTCAGAGTATTTCACTGTAATCTTTAGATACCAGTATTTGGAAGGAAAAATGCTAAAGGAAAAACTGGTTAAGGTGCTACCAGTGAATCTCTATTTTGCTTTCACTACTCTGCTGTTAGATAACTTGAGGCATCACTTTGTAGCTTCTGGATTATCTGTCACATAGCAAACAAGTCACGGAGGTTTCAATTTGTAATATGCTGTGTAATCAATCATTAATTCCAGTTCACTAGCCTTGTGAGAGAGTATACTCATTGCAAAGATTAAACAGACAGATCAATGAATTGCTCAAGGACACAAAACGATTCAGCTTTTTCTTATCTTTCTCATCATAGTCTCCAAACAATGGAAATACACAAGACATGTCCAGTGTAGTCAGGAGCAACCCTATTGTCCTGCAAGTTAAAGCTAACTCCTAAGGCTCCTAGGAGCAACAGAGGAAAGCATTGCAGTTAACTCTCTGGTACTTACTCTAAATAAACACCTCTATGCAGAATATCTTCAAGGCTGACAATTATGACTAGCGCAGATCAAGACCAGAATATGAAAAGAAAAGAGAAATAAGAGCATCTGAGCCACCACAGTGACTTCTGGTTTAAAATGTCACCAACCCGAAGGAGACTGCACCCCAAAGTCAGTATCTCAGTTCCTTTTATCGCCAACAAACATCCAAGAAAGTCGTCTCTCTGGCCCCCACAGTTCAGTAACACACAATACAGTAACTCATGTATTTCCCTGCCCTTCAATTCCAATCTGCAACTGACAAGCATCAGAAGTATCCAGCAGACTAATGGCTTACTGAGTGCATGTCTTCCCACTGGAGACATAAAAAGATACCACCGTCCTCGTAGAGTGGTGGACTCACATCAGCAAAGTGAACTCCTTATCTTACAGAGGGATCAGAGAAGGGCAGAGAATCACTGGGTTACTTAAGGCCTGGTCTCTGTCATTTGACTCAGTTTGCTTCCACAGACATTTTGTAAGTGCCTACTATATGCTAGATAAGTTGGCTGGAAGGTGTTGTGGAAGACAGATCAGGAAGTGGACTCTGCTTTGGGGAATTCACAGCCTGGGGAGGAAGCAGAGTTTTACCACAGTTGGGCAAGTGCAATGACAGAGGTTTATTCTTTAGCTAGTGTTTTCTCCTTCCTGTCCACTAGGTATTCCATGTGGAGGAAATAAGAACAGCACTATCTACTTTCTGCAAATAAACTTAGAGTGAAGGCTACAAAAGCGCGTGTGGAAAACGATCAGGTTCACCCCCAGAGGTATTATGTAAGGTTTACCCTAGCCTGACAGCGACTCTTAAGAACTCAGTATCTCAGACCTCAGATCGACAAAGCAGCAAACAAACGGGGATGGGCATCAATCCAAGGAAAACCCCAGGGGCTGACAGGAACTGGAGGAAACAGCTGGGGAAACGGGTGGGGGTGTCAGGGTCAAGTGAGACTGGGAAGTTGGAATACCAGGAGGAGAACACCAATGAGAGGAGCAGTGGCGAGCAATGGACTCCGCTAGGGGAGGACAGGGCTCTGAGCCTGGCAACTTGGGCCATGGCTGCTAGGTTCCAGTTGGCGCAGGAGGAAGAAGCGGGTGGACAGACACAGGACCACAGGGCTTGGCGGAGAGCTGCGGGAAGCCGGGACTCGGGGGGCTCCTGGGTCCTGGGGCTGCAGCATCGCAGCAGCCCCGCAGTCCCGGCCGCTACCCGCACTCCAGCCCCGCTGCGCATACTCTCTGAGCACCGCCAACGTCACCGCCTCACCTCGGGTTGAAGTCCTGGAAGAGACCCCTCAGGTTCATGGCGAAAAACTTAGCAGCGGTGTCCACCTCTTCCCCCGCCCCGCGCAGCGCAGCCCTGCGCCTCACAGCTGGTTCATCATGCCAACGCCAGCCGCGTCCCCAACGCTGCCGCGGTGAGAAACCCGAGCCACCGCCTCCGCCCCTCCTTCCGGCTTCCGTAGCGAGGCTACGCATGCGCGCTGAGCCCCGCCCAGAGCTCTCTGGGCGAGGATGGTCCCAGCTGTTTGTGGGTCCTAACGCAGTATACCCTGGGAACTGCGGGGGGCGGGGGCGGGGTAGAGACTAGGATAAAGAGGGAGCCTTGGAAGGAGGGGAGGAAAAACCTCGCGGAGACACTTACTGGGTGGAAGCCTGAAAGGAGGGAACGCACAACCCAGGAGTTCCGCAGTGAGGTCTTCGTGGACACCTGTCACCTGGCCCATGCCGCCTTCTGGAGGTTGTCCCCAATATTGACTGAGCCTTGGGCCGGCTGCAGTGGCAGTGGGCGAAACATGGCATTTTGCTGATCAGCTCAGGCTTCACCTGCCACACTTTTCAGTGAATCCAATTTGCATATAAACCTCCCTTCCAAGCCCTAAGCCAGCATGTGCATTATGCTGAGCATCCGAAACTCACATAACCCTACACCCAAGTCTTCACCCATCCTCAGCCATTTTCCCATCCTGGGTTCCCACTATCCTAGCAGCAGGTCTATTCTATTCATGAAGATGCCAAAACTAGAGATGTGGAACTCACCCTTGACTATCCTAACCGAGTTCATTGTCTCCTTGGCTTTGGCTAGATTTTTGGTGTCTCTCCAGACCAGGTCCATCCTCACTAAGCAAGTTAACATCTTTGAGCCTCAATTTTTCTCCTCTCCAAAATAGAGATGGCAAAACCTACCCTCCCAGCTGGTTAGGAAAGTTCAACGATCATGCATAACACGAAGCCTACTGTATGTTAGCTGCTCAAACAATGCTGTTACTAGCTGGTGTTCTTCCAAGTGCCATCTTCCTTATAGCAGATGACTTAGTCTATCATCTTCATTTCCAGCTGATTTAAGAGTTTTTATTTTACCATGAGCACAGCAATACCTTAAACATTAGTCTGGTATCATTATGGATAATAATCATACTTTGTCACAATAGCAGCATTTCATGAATGGCAATTTTATGCTGCTTAGCCCCAGGAGGAGCTTAAGAGGATGACAATTGTGAAAATCATACTGTACCATGATGTATCATCTTTCTTCTAAGAACTTGAAAACATTTCACAAGTGGTAATTATGCTTCCCAACACCCACTGAGAAATGGGTATTATTATATGAGCTGGTTTATGGGTGAGTAACCTGGAAGTAGCTTTCGGCTCTTGAAGCACCAGGACCCTTTCTTAGAAAAATTTGATCTATGTCCTCTGCCCATCCTCCAGGTCATGGTCAATGTCTAGCTATGAGGAGGTTCCCAATGAACATTAGAAGAACTTAAGCACAGAAAAGCTTGCATAATGTGCCCTGTGCCACCTAGCTAGTGAAAGTGGAGGAGCACAGATGCAACTTAAAGCCCCACTAAACTCGCAGCCTGCACTGCTAACAAAAAGTACCTGCCATTGGCAAGAGTGGCAGGCTCTACCTTATTTTCTGATGGTTTCACCTCTAGTAGACATCAAGAGGGAGACACCTTGTCAGTTCCATCTCTTGAATAACCTGCAACATGGTTCTCTCAAGATCTTCATGGAGAGTGGCCAGGTAAGACACTCAGTCCAGATGCTGCTTTTGGTGAATTTTCAGATATTCCTCAAACTAAACCACTTTTCAGGCCCACAAGTTCAATTTTAGCGGTTCCCTCTAAAGATGACTAGGCCATGGAGACTATCTACCCAGAATAACAGACCAAAATATACCAACCATTATTCCTATTTCCTTTTCTGTGACAAATCAAATTGCAATGAAAACCTAATGAAAATACTGAAAGAATTGGACCAAAGCCCCAGGTCCTCAGCTTTCAAGAAAGGACTTGCCTTGATTGCCTCAAATGCACTAGAGATCCAGTCCTGCCTTATCATGGAAACAAAAGCCATAAACTCCTAGTGCCTTTGTACAACAAGTGAAGAAAACCTTTTGCTAATCTGATGTCCACCTTGGATTCCTTGCTTTCTTCCCACCTCAGATGGAGGTTCAAAGCATCACCAGGCCTGTGTGAATAGACCCAGAAGTGACCGTGACATTAGGGAAAGACCTTGGGCCACATGCACAATGATACCTCTATATTTTCTTCTACCACACTTTGACTTTTACTTTGGTTTTAGCTTCCTTTTGACTTCCCAGGGCATTTTATGAGAGGCTCCCAATATTCTCTACTTAAGCACGAGTAATTGCTCTGTTAAAGAATAAATCATGGCTACTGAACAAGCAGAGAGTGGGTTTGGGATGAACACATTTTACAATGCTCTGGAAGCATCAGTACATGTCTGTAGCATTGTTTTAAAGATTGTATTATATTTGTGTCATCTTTCTGGTAAATTAGTGATTTGTCAAACTCAGTGTTCACATGGGCTCCAATGTGTGGTTTTGAAGAGAAGAGACTTTGAGGAGAGAATCATCATGCATTCTGACACTTTTTGGGTTGGAGGAAGAAAGTGTTTTGGCCCAGATCTACACACTCACCACTGGGGCTTCTTCCCTTGGTGTAAGTGGTAGAATTAGAAGACTTGGGTTTAATCAGTGGAAGTAGTGACACTTGACATCTAATATTGGACCTAGTAACAGTGGCCATTCTGTCCTGGGGGTTAGATTGACAAATTCTGCCAGGATATATTGAAGTACCACTACTCAAGACTGCCCATCTTTCAGCTTGAACTTTCCTACCCTAAGTTCCCTACCTAAAGTCCCACTCTGAGTGCTACCAATAGAGAACTGCTGCAGACCCCAGGACTTTGTCCACTTACGAAATGCAACCTATATTTTCCTAAGACAGCCTATTGTTCCTGGCTACTTTGCTTTGACTTTCACAAACTTCTGAGTTTTCTTATCTTGAAATCTTCCTGTGAGGTATGGTTGTGTCTGGAGTCTTGAAAGGAGTTTGGTAGACTGTAGGATTGGAGTTTGGTGCTTAGTGATCCAGAGGAGGAGTTGGGAGGCCAGGGGAAGAAATAAAAGAAGCAGCACTTATGGTTCCTCTTGCATCTGCAACTGTTCCTTAGACAACCTCCAGAGCCTGTAAGTAGCAACCTCCTAAAGGAAGTTTCTTTTCGGGACTCCAACTGAAGTTTCTAAGAGAAAGAAGGACAGGAGCGAGTTGCAAAGCCCCAGTGGCTATTCTGTCACTGAGCACAGCCCCAGAAGATGGCAGATCATCAGCTGTCATGGGGCAAACTTCCTATTCATGGATCAGGGGCTGTTTTCCTTTGGGAAGCAGAGTTGAGAGATTGTGCTTGGGTCTTCAGATCCAACATGGTTTCTATATGCTTCTTCTCTGACCCCATCTAGCTGCCAAGGGGTCTAGAAAGGATTCCTAGATAGTGGGGAAGCTTCTGGGAACTTCTGTCCTAGAAATCAATTCCTGTAATGCCAAGGTCAAGTGTGCGTAGTCAAACACATAGGTAAGAAAGGAAGGACATGCCTACCAGATGTCATTGTCCAGATGGCCATGCAGCTTACTTTTGTTCTTGCCCTCATTTTGCTACCATTTCTTAGTGTTCCCACCACTTTCTTTTCCCACTTTGTGACCATGTCATGTTCTTCTGGAACTTTCTGACCTAACTCAGATTCCTCTCTTCCCCCTTTATTTCCTGTAAAGCATCCTCTCAGCATGGGCAGCCTATAACTTTCAGTCCTTTAGTCTCCCTCACCCAGAACTTACTTTCCAAAGTCTTTGCATTGTGCCAGCTGTTGCAGGAAGCACGGGAAATAAACAGAAATGCATAATCCAAAGCAGAATTGTGTATAAACTTGAGAACCAATGAGCTGAATCTAAAAGGACAAAGAGATTTCAGGCTGGGAAAAGTGAAAAAGGAAATTGCAAGCAGAGATAACAAATACTTCACAAGTGTCTGAGCCCATCCGTGGCTTCTCTATACTCACTAGGTCAGAAGATAATATCATCCATCGAGCCAGAGTAAAAATGGCTCAATTGCAGCCACATGGCCAGAGACACTTGACTAAACCCCAATCTCTAACAGCAAGCTTGAGCAGTTTCCGAGTGATCTGGGGAAATTCTTTCTAGAGTGGTCTCTTTTCAGGCAGCTCCTCTAGTCTGGATCTGAGAGCTTATCAAAAAATTATTTTCCCTGAATTTACCCCTAACAATAAGATAAGGTCAAGCTGTGCTAGGTTTAGTGTACACACACAAGCATGAAAGAATTTTTCATGAATGTAGATTATTTAGTCACAGTTTCTATTCTCCCTATGTGATGTCCTGGACTGGATTTCTTTCTTCTGTCCCATAGAGCAGGAAGCTCCATCTCACACTGGCCAACATGCAGTCATACTGGTCCTCTGCTAGGTCTCTATGCTTTGAGGACTCAGCTCAGGACATCTGATGCTTCCCGCCATCTCCCTACATCTCTGGATCATGTTATACAACTGATGATTAAGGAGTTCTCAAATGAGTTGGGTATCCTGCCTCTTCTTTTAAAGTTTCTGATGCTGGCTGTAGGCATCATCCCTGGGTACCCACAGTCCTGCTTTCCTACCAAATTTTCTCAGTTCATGGATACAACAACTTTTTGCTCTTATTATAGAATAACTTACTTTTAAAATGTGGGTACGTGCCAGGCGTGGTGGTGCACATCTTTAATCCCAGCACTTGGGATGCAGAGGCAGGCAGATCTCTGTGAGATCAAAGCCAGCTTGGTCTATATAGCAAACTCTAGGCAACCTGGAGCTACAAAGAGACACTGTTTCAAAAATACTTTAAAAAAACAATAAAGTGTGTGTGTGAATGCTCATATACATGTATGTTTTATGTGTGCGCACATGTATGTGGGTATGCATATGGAAGCCACAGGTCGATGTTGGGTGTTTTTCTCTGTCACCACACACTAGCTTTTTGATACAGAATGTTATGTGACACTATTCCCCGGGAAAGAAGAACAAACATCTACTCACTCCAGATAAGGAACCAACGACAGGCCAAAGCAAGGATACCGTAAAAATTCAACTTAGTGAACCAGTG